GAATATGACATACAGTGGGGTCATGGTAGTTAGAAGTCAAAAGTCGACAGCCTGTAAATAGACTTTTTGCCGTATGAGTATACACGTGGACCTAAGTCTATCGCACACCCCAGATGACAAATAATTAAACCGGATATTTGGTTGAGAAATAAAGTTTTCATTTACTAATGCCATCGTAAGTTTCCCTCCAACCTCCATGCTCAGGAAATGCATCTAAGGTGTAACTTAATATCACATGGGAGATATTTTCAAGAGAAATGGAAACAACGCTGTATGCTAGATCAACAATATTCAATTAGTACTCCTGAAGTCTCTCTCAAAATGGACAAACAAACCAAGATGAATTGAGATTTAAATGGTCTTCTAAAACAGTGAAGGAGAAATGCCGAACCTGCTGCTTTCGTGATTTGGTACCAGTTGTCCTACCCTTGAAAATTATTCCCCAAATTTTTTCCAGATATTTTTTGTAACTATTATTTGAATGAAAAAAAATCCAATCGAACTAGGCATTAACTCAACTTTTATTACTCATTAGGTAATGGAAAACGTCAATTACTATGAAGAAAATGGGCGATAATTAAAAAACCAGCGTTTTGACGATAAAACTTCTCAATGTAACATGGCACTTAATCTCGAAATGAATTCAAAAGTATAATATTTTTTCTAAAGGATTTTCATATCGATTAACTTAATGATATAAGTTAGGAAAAATTAAAAACACATAAAGTTATTTTCGGATAATAGTCATTTATAATTTTGGAATTAACTGAAAGGTCGATTTTAATTGGCCAATTTGTCCAATTTTCCGCCTCGCTCTGATTGGCTGACCTCTGAAAGGAGCGTGTGGGCTCCCACTACCTCTCACCTAATTTCATTGGCCCAATTCTGGGCGGAATAAAACTGTGAATGGACTATGACTAGCCAATAAATCGAGGGCCATCGGATTATAAACATAATCAAAAGGTGAATAAAAAAGTGACAAATCCACTCCACTTCGTATGACAACCTTTAAGGTTTAGTGGAAAAATAACTCGATGGTTCTTTAACGTTAATGGCATTTTTTAACCACTTGTTTATTTCAGATACCGGTCCTATGGCTTCTTTAAATTTTTCGATTGATGGACTTATGGGCACTTCGCATTCTAAGGCATCCCATAAAGGGTCTTCATCGAAAGGATCAGTTAAGACTGAAGCGTTCTCGACCACAGCAACTCAAGGATTTGTGTGCCCAGACTGTGGAAAGGTTTTCAATGCCCAGTACAACCTCGCGAGACACATGCCAATTCATACCGGAGCAAGACCCTTCATTTGCAAGGTGAGTCAGTCAATTGCAATTGATATAAGGAAATTAGAATTTGTTAAAAAATACTCAACAAATGATAATGAGGTAGGAATTGAAAGGATTTTGAGGATAACGTTAAGAAGTCAAAAATCTCACCTCATTTACATTTTGACTGCAAGCTTACGTCATTTTCTTGATAAGTAGCTCAAATTACAAAAAAATCCAATTTCACGAATTGCGCCCTTGAATTGCTGGCTAAATTTATTTATTTATATCAAATGGCAGGCATTTTGATAGTTATCATTAGCCCTTTAGTTGACTTCAGGCTTCACAGAGGGGAAGGAACATCAAAGTGAAAGAAGTCTTGGGGGGGGGGGTGGAGACAGAAGGGTGATTCAAAGATGTAAAAGAGACAGACACAAAGGTAGAAAATGGTGAGGTGAGTACCGTGAAAGAAATCGAATATGACATACAGTGGGGTGATGGTGGTTTGGAGTCAGAAGTCAACAGTTGGTTAATAGACTTTTTTGCCGTATGAATATACGTTGCCCAGGGTGCACCACGTGGAGGTAAGTCTATCACACACCCCTTGCTGGATTAATTATGTTTACTAATCTATAGTGTTCATTAGTCAGTCCTTAAATTCGTTTTCTTCCAATAATTGATCATCCAAAATGTTAATTAGTTGAAGTTTCCTTGATATGATTTTAGCTGAGACGGATGTGTATTTGGTAACTATTTGTGCAAATATGGTATTTATTCTTGATGAAACGATTTCTTTAAATGGAAATCAAGGTTTGTGGAAAGGGTTTCCGTCAGGCGAGTACTCTGTGTCGACACAAAATAATCCACACTTCGGAGAAACCGCATGTATGTCGCGTCTGTGGCAAAGCTTTCAATCGAAGTTCAACCCTCAACACGCATGCGAAAATACACCTTGGTAAGTGCTTTATAAATTATTCATATCTGAAGAGATACTGATATGTTGTTGTTTGCCATTTACCAGTCATGGAATAATTTAAAAATCATATTTATTCATAAAATTTGTGAAAATTATAAAATGGGATGATTATGGTTAATTGAGTCATATTTTTTACTATTGATTCTCAAAATTTATTTATTTATTTCAAATGGCAGGCGTTTTGATAGATATCAATAGCCATTTAGCTGACTTCGGGTTTCAGAGAGGGAAAGTTCATCAAAGTAGCAGAAAGTCGAGGGGTGGGAAACAGAAGAGCGATTCACAGATGTAAAAGAGGCAGACAGTCACTAAGGTAGAGAAAAAGGTAAGGGGAGTACTGTGAAAGGGGTCGAATATGACAACCAGGGGGGTCGTGTTAATTTGAAGTCAGAAGTCAACTGCCGATTAATAGACTTTTTTGCCGTATGAGTATACGTTGCCCAGGGTGCACCACGAGGAGGTAAGTCTATCGCACACCCCTTGATTCTCAACATAATCCAACGATTTCCACGTAAAAGATAAATATGAATGATTAAGTATTCGAGCAAACAGGTATTTACTCTAGTCTTTTAGACGATAATGATGAAGGTCCAGCGAGAAAACAGACTTATAAGTCACCCGTAAAATTTAGAGTAGCTAAAATAAGTCAGATTTAAGCCAATCAGCGTTCTCTAATTAGCTTAAATAGTAAATGTAATTTCATTGGACTGCATTCTAAGTAGTGCGTTTTAAATAAAATTTAATTCTTGGCTCGTGTTAGCCGATTAGAAGATTGAGAACTCCTGCTTGTTCTTCCACTTACCGCTGCTATTTTTCTTAAAGTGACTTAGTACTAAAGGAAAATCAATGCCAACATAAACTTAGGGATACAAGTCCTTGTAAATCGTTTGATAATTATTCATAATTTATGATTGATGAACTATATTAGAGACCAAATTACTCACATTATTTTGTTGTATAGGTGTAAAGCCATTCAGATGCGAGATATGCGGAAAAGGATTTCACCAAAAGGGCAATTACAAGAATCACAAATTGACTCACAGTAATGACAAACAACACAAATGTCCCTTATGCGATAAATCCTTTCATCAGGCTTACAATCTGACCTTTCATATGCATACTCACCGAGAGGAAAAACCATATACTTGTAACATTTGTGATAAGGGTTTCTGTAGAAACTTCGATCTCAAGAAGCACATTCGGAAGGTGCACAATCAAGTACCTGAAAGGGAATTTTCGGTAACTAATTCAAATGCAACAATTGCGTCAAAACAGTGGATTAACCTTCAACCATCTCCATCATGTTTGCCCTCACCACCGTCTGACTACCACGAAGTGACTTACACACAATCTTTGCCATCATTATCGAACCAGTATCAAGTCCCATTAACTCCTCCCCAAATGTTCGAACAAAGCTCAAGAAATTTTCAAATAGGATTTCAAATTCCACCTCCTGAGGTATTGCGGAGGTTTCTGCCCTATTCATCACCAGGAGACGTGTCGACAGTAAAATTTGTTTAAAATATTTGTTGTACGACTCTTTTGTATATTAATTTGTGTATTCGATTTCATTGCATTATTTTATTAAAAGTAAGACTCATTAAATTGTTCAAATTTAAATTTTCTTATCGTATCTATGCTACTATTCGAGTATAAGTTACAAGATTAAACGCAAAGAAGGCTTGAAAATTTACAACATAGTAATTTTTAAATTATTCTGCATGTTTCGCAGCTCCATTATTCTGTTCTGAGTTTAAAGAAAGACAAAGTACCTTTACTCTATCTAAAAGAAATTTTAAAGAATTAGACTTTAACATTGTTAATGAGCCATCGCTCTTTCTACTATGTACGAAGAAGTAGCAAATAGCTTAAACCAAAATATAAACTCCAGGGCGATAAAATTGTATTGTTTCAAAATGATAATTATCAATAAATGAATCCAATCCTTCATCATAAGTGTGCTATTGAGTAAACGAACAAAATTTTTAGCATCTTTCTAACACAATCATCTTTATTATTAATAAAAGTATAATATTTTCCATGATCTAATGATAAATACAGGAAACAAATGGAATGCATAAGTCAGTAGTCTATATTCATATTATGGACGTTTTCAAATATTATTGATAGAGCATATAAAATTTATAGTTTAATCAAGTTTGAAGACAGCAGTCAACACAATATAAATAACATGACGTCATTGAGCTAAAATGTTGGCATGTTAGACTTATTATCTTAATTGCCGTTGACTCGCCGATAAAATGATTTAACATGCAGGATAAGATTACAATGATAAATAAAGAGAAGGATTAATGCTGATCTGTATAGTTGTGTGAATATAGACCACTGGTAGCCATTAGTGCCTCTAATTGATAAAAATATTCAGTAGACTGACAATTGAGAACGGGAGAGGGGGGGGGAAGTACATTTTTGGTCAAGTAGATGAGTGAAATAAACCGCTTTCACTAAAGTTGAATAAATTTATTGACCTAGCCGACAATAATAAAATCAATCTATAAAGACAAACGGTGGCAGTTTTAGGTAAAATTGTGAAGCGATACGGCAGTGATATTCAAAACGAAATTAAAGTTTGCAAAAATAAAGAATAAAAATAAAAATTTGGGGTCGGACGTGAACTAGAAAGTGCATTTAGAAATTATATGTGATGCACACATACTGAGTTTATGATATTTATTTAGTGAATTTAATTGCTAAAATAATTCTCAGATCAAATAATAGTCAACTCTTACTGGTTTTGAATATTATCGTAATTCAAAATTAAAATATTATTATATTTTGATTGAAAATGAAAAACCTTGATAAATGCAGTGATAAAAATATATATTGAAATTAATTTCTATTCCATTTCTGTTTCCGGTGTAAATTCAAAGCGAATAGTTATTTGAATCAAGTATGAAAATATTTATTGAAGATATTAAATCGTAGTATTGAAGAAAAAACGAAGTTTATTAAATATAAATGACTTGCTAAATTAATACTCCCGATTAAAATCTGCTAGATTTGTTTAGTTGATTTGATGACCTGTGTCATTTACAATAAGTCACTGTGGTTCTTGTCACGCTTTCTGCACCTATGGGGAAATTGCAAAAATTAGATAACAGAATTCAGCGTGTGCTTCAGAATGGAGTTATACAAAACCATAGAACAGTTCTTGTCATAGTTGGCAATAAGGGTCAAGATCAAGTTTCAATTTTGTATCAACTCCAAACGCAAATTCAAAGAAAAGGCATCCTCAAGATTTTGTGGTGCTATAAGAAGGAACTATCTTTCAGCACGTAAGAGTTATACTTCGTTAATACCTGTTAAATTTAGCCATCGCAAAAGGAATTTAAAACTTCTTAAGTAAGTTATATACTTGATATATTAACCTTTTCTCTAGCAAGCGCCGTAAAGCCGGAGTTGTGAGCGAGGGTACTGTTTTTGAACAGTTTATCTGCTCATCTGACATCCGCTGGTGTTACTACAGCGAAACGAATAAGATTCTTGGCCAAACTTTTGATATGTGCGTTCTTCAGGATTTTGAGGCTCTCACTCCAAATACACTTGCTCGTACAATTGAAACCGTTGCTGGCGGCGGTGTCGTTGTCTTCTTATTGAAGTCGATGGATTCCCTCCAACAGCTTTGTACCATGGCAATGGATGTTCACGCTAGATACCGTACTGAAGCCCATGCTGATGTTGTATGCCGATTCAACGAGCGATTTTTGTTGTCTTTATCACAAAATACCCGTTGTATTGTTATGGATGATCGGTGGAACATTCTTCCAATATCCAAGAAGGTTATCAAGAGCATTGAAGATATTTCCAGTAAAGAATACGACGAATACATCTCTAAAGAGAATACAGAATTAGCCAAATTGAAGCTTCTTTTAACTGAAGATGAATCCTACTTTGCTCCACTCGTTAATCTCTGCAAAACCCTCGATCAGGCAAAATCACTCCTTCAGTTCTGCTCAGCTCTGATTGATATCACGAATCCCTCTGAGACCAAATCTTGCAAAAAGTCATCCCTTGCAGATAATATTGGTGGATTTGACTCGGCTACTCAGGATATTATAACCAAGTTTTCTGAAAGTGGTGTGAAGAAGACTAACATGCAGAAGACCGCCAGTTCAGCTGTAGTTGTAATGACAGCTGGTCGAGGTCGTGGAAAATCGGCGGCTCTGGGTTTAGGCCTCGCTGCTGCTTTTGATGCAGGTCTACCAAATATGTGTGTAACAGCACCAAGTCCTGAGAATTTGCTAACCCTCATGCAGTTTGTTCTTCTCGGTTTGAAGGCTCTGAGATACGAGGAGCATGTTGATTATACAGTGTATCGATCAACCGATCCCGAGCACAATAAGGCTGTCGTGAAAATCGAAGTCACTAGACGCATGTACAGACAGAGCTTGGTTTACCTGCAACCATGGGAGGCTGTGTCTTCCGGTGGTTGGCAACCGGATTTGTTCTGCATTGACGAAGCAGCGGCTATCCCCTTGCCCACGGTGCGTCAGATGATCACTGGTCCGAAACTCGTTTTTATGGCTTCCACTGTCAATGGTTATGAGGGTACGGGGAGATCGCTTTCTGTAAAGCTCATTGAACAACTCAGAAGTGAGTGCCAGAAAGTTGATGCTACTAAAAAAGCAGGCGTTGGAGAATCAGGAAAAGGAATGCAACTCAGTACGTTATTAGTCTAAGCTTTTTGTATCGAGACTTATCTTATTCGAAATTTAATTTCTTTCTTTCAAAAAAAAACAGCCCTGAATACGTGAGTATTATATGAGTGCCTTTGGGTTTCGAACCCATTGGATGAGGAACGTATAAATTTGCTTATTTGAATTTAGAGGATTTGTATTTCTGAAAGTATATATTTTCCTTCAATTGCTATATCCAAGTAACTAAAATTTCCATTCCTTTACAAAGATTAAAATATTTCGCTTTAAAAGCGTCTACATCCGTGATATTGATCGTTTTTAGCACTCTTCTGGATACTGTAATGAATACGGACTTGATTTCTGTCATTCTCTCATTAGATCTTTGTTCAGTTGATGTGACATTTGACTTGAAAGACATTTACTAGCAAAAGAATTGCTTTCGTCGATTTGAGAATGAATAGTTGGTGCTAATTAGGGCCTAGATAGGTTGCTTGTAATATCGTTCTTTCTTGCAGATTTGCATAGCTACGGAAATTAAGACTCGAAGTTGGTGATTTGATCATTTTTACTTTTATATTGCAAGCTTATAACACTTTAATTCTCTTGATAGTGGGCAAAGGTCGACTTCTTTACGAAATATCTCTCAAAGAGGCAATCCGATATGCCAACGGTGACCCGGTTGAAGCCTGGTTGAACAACCTCCTCTGCTTGGACTGCGGCGAAAAGCTCACATCAGCTTCAAAGGACAACATTGGCGGAATCGCACCTGCGCCTGATTTGTGTCAGCTGTACTATGTCAATCGCGACACCCTTTTTGCCTTTCACGATTCCACAGAGAAGTTCTTACAACGCCTCATGGCCCTCTATGTCTCTTCGCATTACAAGAATTCACCGAATGACTTTCAGTTGCTTTCCGACGCACCAGCTCATCACATCTTCTGTCTTCTCGCTCCCTATGACCCCAATTCTGGACGAGTTCCTGAGATTCTTTGCGTCGTCCAGGTTTGCCTGGAGGGTAGAATCAATCGTGATATTGTGATGAGAAGTCTTTCTCGTGGTTTGAAGCCCTCTGGTGATCTCATCCCCTGGACAATTAGTCAACAGGTGAAAATTTTTCCAACTTCACTATTAATAACTTAAACAACCTATTTGACAAATTTTGTTTCGTTCTCTGTTTACAGTTTTGTGAACCGAATTTTGGTGAGCTTTCAGGAGCGAGAATTATCCGAATTGCTACCCATCCGGATTATCAATCACTGGGTTATGGAACCAGGGCAATTCAGTTGCTCCACAAGTACTATCTTGGACAGATTGTAAGTTGATTATTTCAAACATCCGGTTTCATCACTTATCCTTTCTCTGTGTTGATATACAATGCACAAAATTCTAGTACGTGCATAAAATTGATAAGACACCAATACGTTGTGTGGAGCTTATCCTGCATTCATTTTTTTTCCAAGTTTCCAACTCTGACCAAAAGTTCACTTTTAGTTTAAAAAATAAAGTGGGAATTTCCATAATGATGCAGCAGCGCGGGCCTATTTCCCTCGCCTCAATCGATAACTACTAGATTTATCGCCGCCAAGCAGCCATAATTGAATGTCACTGATCGCACAGATTGAGCGTATATTGATAACCACATTAAATTCAAGACAATAAATTAGAATTTTTGCTTTATTGCACGTCTGTTTCTTCACCTACCTCCTTGGCACCATGTCGTACATCGCTTAGGCGTCACTCGAGTTATCTCAAAATACTTTCTAATTGACCACATTCATACGTTATCTGCTTAGTTATGTTTGTCTATTTAAGAATAAACCAGGATACCCTGTTGGAAGACACGTGCTCTTCTATTAACCATTCTTAATTAGAGTTGGGGGTTCACTTTTGAGGACAGCGGCTTTTTCCAATAATTAGGCGTGTACCCTTGGTTCCCACAGGCCTTAAACTCTGTTCATTGCGATATTAATTAATGCGGTAGGGGGTTATTGGTCGTTGAGCACCATAGTTCGATCCTTGATGTGGAGATAAGTCCAAGTTTACGTGACTTCATTTTCATCTTGGCATGTTATTGACCTTGCACTGAGCAATCATATCCTTAAGACTTTGAGTTGTTTCATGATCTTGAGACCTTAGAGGATTAGCTCTACACATTCATTTGCTAATCTAATCGCTGCTTTACTCGATAACTGCTTGAAATAATCAACCAGTTCAACTCTGCCTGGTCTTGAAATGACTATCATATGTTATTGTTCTACCATCATTTTCTCTATTTGCATTAATTTTGCACTTACTTGCTTGATATACACAACTAAGAAATTAATAAGTTCTACAGTTTTACCTTGAAAAGCTCAAAGCGTACATCTATCTGAAGATGAGTCAGTGGGTTGAAATAAGTAATAAGAACTCGTCTTCATCGCGTCTCCGAGTTTGAGACATATAAATGTCTGATAGCGAACTTATTTTTTCCTTTAGCCAGTGAGAATTCCAGACAGTGTCAAAGTCCCTAAAGCAACAGCCACCAAAACCGCAAATTCCTCCAGTGAAACAGACTCCGAAGCGGATGGGACAGAACATTCAGAAGAGGAGGAAATTGAGGAGATTCCAGACAATCTATCAGACAACGACGACGACGAAGAAGAGATTGCAGCCCCTCCGTCGAAAAAATCGAAAAATTCTAATAAACCAGCAGAAGGCGAAGAGGCCTCCAGCAAATCGAAGTTGTTGACTGAGAAGGTTGAACGAAAATCGAGTCTGCCGCCATTACTAAGTCGCTTGAGTGAACGAGAACCGGAGAAGTTGAATTATATTGGCGTTTCCTTTGGAGCCACTCCGAAGCTGCTGAGGTTTTGGAAGAAGGCTGGGTATTTGCCGGTATATCTTCGGCAGACCATGGTAAGTGTATAAACCTTGGATGCCATCACTTTATTCAACCTGATTTACTTTCAAATTAAAATTTCATCAAATATTAGCATAAGTAAAGTTTAAAGGTCTTATTGATAGGAGATATGCGTTGCATAAGATAAAACACCTTATCAGGTTGGCTATTTAATTTATTGAAATTGAAAATTGTTGTTTGTAAATAAAACTCATATCGGTTGTAAAAGCTATTATAATGTTATTATACTAAGGAGATCACATTTCAACACCCTTATACAGACTAAGATAATCCTGACGAGTTTTTTATTTGACTTCGGGTTTCACAGAGGGGGAGGAGTATCATGGTGAGGAAAATTCGTGAGAGGGAATAGAAGAGTGATTCACAGATGTAAAAGAGACAGACAGACACAAAGGCAGAGAAAATGTAAGATGGGTACTGGGGAAGTGGTGGAATACGTCATATAGTGAGGTCATGGTAGTTTGAAATCAAAGTGAACTGCCTGTTTATAGACTTTTTTACCCAGGGTGCACGCGTGGAGGTAAATCTATTGTGCACCCCACATTCAAAAATAAGAGAAAACAAAGAGTTTCTAACAAATGTCTATTAGTTGGCACTGTTTATTTTGCATTTCAAGCTTTGCAATCACAGTATCCTTTCCATTGTTTGTAGAATGACTTAACTGGTGAATTCTCCTGTATTATGATTTGCGAACTGCTTCAGAATCAGAACGCTGACGTTAATTCTGAATGGTTGAAAAGCTTCTATTTTGGTAAGTCTTTACTCTCCTTAGTTACAAATGAAATGAAATTCTATTTTCTGATAGCTGTTATTGTTTTATAAGAATGCATAAGCTAGCAGGTGGTTTAGCTCTGAGTTCTTGCGCCTGGTTCACGGAAATTCATGAAATATCGCTTACATGATTTCATATTGCCTTTTAGACTTTTGTAAAAGATTTATCAAGCTTCTTCCTGGACCATTCCGCACTTTGGATGCAGCTTATTCATTGGAATTGCTGCTCTCGAAGTCGTCACGCTCAATGGTTAGTGATGGTAAGTGACTTAAAAACTCGCTACTGGCGACATTTTAAGTAGGTGATTATATTGATATTTTCTTTTGGTAGAACTCACCATCTCAGAGATTCATCAGTACTTCTCAGCAATTGATTTGGAACGTTTACATCGGTATCTAAGATCTCTTCTTGACTTCCCAATGATTTCTGATCAATTGCCACAGCTTGCTAATCTCTACTTCCTTCGTCGTTTTCCTCAGGCCAAATTAAACAGGACCCAACAGGTGAGTTCACATTTTAATAGAGTTGTTGGGGCTTAAGTTTTAAGTTCAGAGCATTGAGATAGATTGCAATGGATGATCGTATTTTAGCAGTATTCCGTACCATTGGATTGTATACAGTGACCATGGATGAAGGTTAAATATAAAAATGAAAAAAGATTCAAAGTGGAAATGCAGTATTCACTTAATAGTGGGTCTAATTGGGAAGAGTAAAATGAGTGTCAATGACGTCGTGACATACGCGAAGCGTGTCACTAATATTGTGTGAAATTCCACGGCTAGGTTGCTCAGGGGGATTGCAATATGCTTCGACAAACGGAAATTCCTCCTCACAGAACTCGTCCATTATGTTTTATGGAAGCTACCTTCAGTGAAGGGGCTATTTATTTTTCAGTAGTTTCTCTGTTGGCAATAGAGTTAGTTAGAGTGAGTCCGAACTACAGTTGTGGACTTCATCCTGGATTCATGCTCACCTAAGAGGTTTCGAAGGTGAAGCTAAGTTATTTGATGCACATATTTCTAGGTTATTCTCTGTGGTCTTGGTGTTCAACGCAAATCCGTGGAGCAGCTGGCTGAAGAGCTGGAACACCTACTCGGTCCCGATGGTGGACTCCAAAGCAGTCGTAAGCATCAATCCACTCTTGGAGCCAAGAGTTGTATGGACGGAATGTTTTGGAATAGTGGACGCCTCAGTGGTGGCTCTGGAAGTGGTGACCCGAGCGTGAAGCGCAGGCTGAAAGAGGACGGAGAGGCGGAATCTGGTGGCCAGTCATCCAACGGTTGGGCTCGTCGTATTCGTGGTCTTCTCTTTGTCATTATTCGAGAGTTGGTGAAGTCACTGGACGAGATTATCAAGACTACTGGAGATGGGAGCAATCTCCATGAGTTGAAATCTATGCTGAAGAAGAACGAGACCACTTTGCCTCTTCCTCAGAATACCTCTGATGTTGAAACGATGGATATTGGTGAGGGTGAACAGAATGGAGCCTCTTCAGATGAGGATGAGGCGGAATTGGGCGATGAATTTATCACTGCAGACCCCTCGACAATGTCAGCCATGGTAGCAGACACGAAATTCGATGCAGAAGAGCAGACAAGACGAGCTCAATTGGTGAAAGAACTCCTAAGAGAGGAGGGAGATTCTCAGTTGTCGAAGTACCAAGTGCGTGGGTCGGAGGGTAGTTGGAAGGCTGCTGTGGCAGGCCATGGATCAGAACTCTCAGCACTCCACGTTCGTGTTGGACAGGAGGAAGAGAGTGGTGGGGGTGTGAAGCATAAGTAAGTTTCAAATGTGCATTGCACGCCAAATTCTATGGTGACCTTAAACATTAGGCTATATAGAATGAGAAGAAAGTAAACAAAGCAGTTAGAATAGCACCTTGATGGCATTTAACGGAGACTGTATATGTTCTTGTGTGTGTGCGTGCTGCAAAAGTTGAAGTTAGGAGGAGATGTATAGAGAGAAGAAGACCGAGTGGGCGTGTTATAGAAACGGAAACGTTGAACATTACATTTGGATACAAACAGACAGATGTGGGATAGTTAAAGGACAGTTGACGTCCAACTTGGAAAGCAAGAATAGATGTGTTAATCAGTGGTTGTAGTGGCTACTGATTGACTCCTCATAGTGTCTGATAGACGAAAGCCGATTATAACCAAACTGTGAAGTAATGCTGAACTTAAATGCTTCAGATGAATAGCCAATTGGGTTACAATCGGGAGCCCCTTTCTAACGTGTTTTCGTTCTAATATCCGTGTCCTTTTCTTGAATTGTAGGAGAAAACACGCTCATGCACTGGGCGATAAACGAGAGAGAAAAAGGTGTAATCGGGCGGAGAATCCCATCACTATGAAGGTCTCAGGGGGAATCAGTTCTAGCAAGAAACGAGTTGATTAGTGCTGTCTTCGTGAGTGTACAAATATTCTGTCTATCCATGTATAACTAAAGAATCAATAGAATATTGAAATGTGATGAACTGCACTTTTTGTCTTGTTGGAATTCAGTGTGTGTGTGCTATTGTGGTTCCAGCATAGTAGAGGACGTTTTGTATTTTTATAAGACCCTTATAATTCTATGCTTATAATATTAGGTGTGAAGGTGTAGATGGGAAATCCGAAGGGGGGGGGGTGTATGGTGGAAATGGGGGATGTCGGAGCCAGTGTGGGGGGGGGAGGAGATTAGCTTTTTGTAATAATAAAAAATAATTATCTGGGACGGGGAGGAATTAAGTTATTCTTTGTACAAATTATTCAAGGAGAAGAGATCTGCAGTTCATAATGGGGAAGGGGAGGGGTTGAATTTACCAAAGCCATGTAGTATCTGAGGCACACGAAATGCAGGCTATTTTACCAGACTTAGGTTGCAAATGTGCCAATGTAGGGTTATTAACGACTGTAAAATTCCAAGCAGATTATAAAATTCGCCCGTATTTGATTGCGTTGCCAACTATTTAGATTGTATTGCCGTTCTAGGCTTCACTGCCACACATCGAAATGGCAGTCATTGTGAAGTAAATATCACGCTTATTCCTATCCAACCTATTTAAATCAGTGACGTGTTTTTGGAAGCAATTTAGAAAATTCGTATAGAAATGCGAGTCAAAACAAATTTAAGTTTCTTATCCAACTCCAGTTATATGAAATGTGAGTTCCTCATAGAAAAGTCAGAGGTCACGAACTCAAAGCGTATGGGTACACGTCCAGTGAGCAGTCTAGCCTGGTTAATAACGTGGTTAATAGAATTAGTGCTTCTCGCAGGCTCCATGATGGTACACTCTCCTTCCAAGGTGACAATTCGAAAAAAAGCCACTAAAAATTGACTTGGGATTAATTAGATTAACATATGATGTTTCAGACACCTTATTTAATTACTATAAACTATTTCGAGCCATTAAAAGTTGGTCACGACGACTGCAAAGACACCAATGGAAACAGAGAAGATCTCTAGTGAATGACGGTTTATGGATAACAGCTTATTGTATTTTGTTTCATAAATATCGTTTACTTTTTTTTCGCCCATATGATGCCTAGACCCAATGGAGTATCAATTAAATTATCCGTTTAATGGGGTTGTCATAGCAAATGCTGCCTGAAATTCATGAGTAGGAAGAATGTCACATAAATGTAAGACATAAATTAACTAAATAGACGCAATAAATTGGGTTTCAATTTACTCTTTCATAAATTGTATCCAATAAAATGCATTTATAAAACCATAAGCAAAAAAAAACTAAATTTAAAAAATTAATTGGTTTTTGCCAAGCTTATCTCAAGCTGACTTTTGAATGGAAGCACAAACTTTTGTTCGTATTCTTCCTATATTTAACGCCTTAAGCTGTAGAATTTTTCAGTCCGGTAATCGACAAAGTGCTTATTTCAAGATTAAACTTGCATATATTCCCACAACAGTGATGTGAATGTTTACGGACAGAAAATGTTGTGTTCTTGCATTGTCGAGAGGATTGTTGCTTCCAGGCTCAATAATCAACTGGAACCACCGGTCTTAGATCCTATGGAGTTCAGCGTGTGGTTTTCGGGCTGAGAAGATGAAAAGTAATTATCCCAATTGCCACGGACCAAATTTCCTTACTCTAGACAATTTCACTCCAGTCATATCTATGTATCCGTCTATCTTATCCTTAGAATCTTTGTTCGTCGTGAATTTATTGGTGTGCAAGTTGATTAAAAGTTTGTCACGGATCTTGGTTTTCGGGAGAGGGTAGGTTTCAATTCATTTCCGATAAGGAGGTGCATACCCGAGTGGTTGAGTGGATTAGGTTGTGAAGTCATCCACGTTTTTAGAGTTATTGCTTAATGGACGGTTTAGATGGCTATAAAGTGGGTTACCTTTTTAACCTAGAAGAAATCACTAGAACTCATTCAAAGCTAATTACAGTTATAATTGGATTAAACATTTTACTGCATATGCCAATAGTAATTCGTAATTTGTTATAATTTTCATGCTGTCAACATAAGGCGGATATATCAATTAATGCACATCTAACTATTAACTATTACAAATAAATATAAACAAAACACATATTTCATTTGATATTTGTATACCTTGTATTACTTTTAATAACGCTGGCAAAATCAATCGTAAAAATGTAGTTTTAAGTGGATGATATGTTGCTTCGCCACATTGAGCAATAAGACGAAACATCCTTTGTGCAAAGCATAACGTAGAAAATTTGGGAAATTGGAAGATCGATGTGTGATCAAGAGAGGAAGATTGAGTATGGAATGAGGCAAGATATGTTTTCAAATACACAAAATAAGAATCCTTGGGAGATAGATGAGAGGTGGAAGATGACGCAGCTATTGGTCCTGGGAACTGAAATCCTCGTTGCTTTTCATGTTGCTTTTCAACAGTCGAATAGCACTGGGAAATTTTCCCTTTCTTAGTTTTCCTTCTCCCGCCTCATTTTCACCTTCTTTACCCTCCTCTGACTCAGATTCTCGATTATTCTTCTCTCTGAGATCTTCCTCAGAAGCGTTTACGAATTTCACCTAAAAATAGAAAAAAAGATTTGTGTTAGGATTGAAGGCACATCTGGCTATAGAAGTTGGAGAAATCCTCTGAAACAGAAAAGATGAGGGGAGTGGGGAGGGGGGTCTTCTCAAAGCGCATGGGGTTCGCTTAAATGGGCTAACAAATAAACCTACCCTATCACCGGATCCAAACATTTCAATTGGTACTCCTTGTTTAACCAATTCTTTGGTGTGCAACTCCGCCATCTTTTCAGCAATACTGAGTTTGCTTTGGTAGAATTCGCCTTCGTTGAGCAAAGAATGCAGAGCTTGGGTGGATGGAGCTGTCCGAATATTCGCGGTACTTCCTGCAACACCAGTACTCCAAACACCCGACGCGATAAGGTGACTTTGGCTCTGAATGGGAATTCCATTACCTCGTTCTCCATCTCCATCCTCGTATTCTCCATCACTTTTACCCTGAACATCTGGAGGAACATAACCCAGTGTTCGTTCACAAATATTCGTAAGGAATTCTGTACGATGAATGTCTTCGGCCGGTCCCCAATCACTAACTGGTTTAGCGAATTCGCGCAAAAGCTGTAGGGAAATTACAAAAAATCAGTAATTCTGCTGATTGTGCTCATTGTGCACACTACGTTTCATTGACGTGTCTGCGTTTGAATGTGGATTTGAAATAAAATTTCTGCTCAAATCACTGATAAATGTGGAAACGACCTGCATATTTTTGGCAAATATTACTCACAACAGTTACATTGCTAGATTTGAGATTTAACTTTTCAATGTTAACTCTAAATTGTACTTTGGATCAGCCAGAGGACTTACTATTGGAATTTTAAGATATATATTTAGTCAATGCAAAGCGAAGTGCCCCATACTGAACGGCTGTCTTAATTGGTAATTCGGCGAAGTTCACCATTGTTCGTAAAACGTTTCCCGAATCACCCTCATCAGCAAATTGAGTAGTTCGACATTACTAAAAAAACTTCTATTGGCATCTCTGAGCAGGGTTTATAAAGTACGTCGTACGTAAATGCTCGGTTAATTCAAATCTTGTTGAGTTTGAATAAAGCCATTTGTAAGTATTGCTGAAAGCCTTCCAAATCACCCTAGATTTCTCAAAAAGTGATATCAATTTTAGAGGGTTCTTCACAAAATTTCGGAAACAAATTGGAGAATAATAACTCGTAGAGTTTGTCCAATTCTAGTTCGGTTATTTAACAATGAATTTTTGCTGATGATTCACCAATCTGACAAATGATGAATTAACTTACTATCCATCCACCATCGTGGCAATACTTGTAGAGGAACCATACAACAATTAGAAGAACTGGAACGACGGCGATGAGCTGTCCCATGACTTGAATTCCATGTGGATAGATGTAATTGTCCATACTGTATGGTTTGCCTCCGACAATCATGAAAATAATCAAACCCAGAACCGCACATGGAGAAACAACCATCCAACTTATTTTCCAATACCAGTTTGGCTTTGAGTCGATCATAAGTTTTACATCTCGCATGAACTGATTGATGCCTAGAAAAGAAGTGGTAAATGAATTAGGATAGATCATCCTAAGATCAGATTTAGTTAACTAGATCGAACTGCCTACCATAGACATAAGAGATGACCAGAAGCTCCATCAAGGCAATAATGAGAACAGGATATCCAGACATCACATTATCCAACAAGTTTACGAGATATGCACCACCATTGCAAACCATGGGAATTGTGATAAGGAAGTTGATAGAGCATAGCACAACTCTGTAATGCGAGGCAATGCAAAACCATTATTAACCCAGTAGATATATAAAGTAGGATGGATTTCATTACAACTTACCGGAAAACGAATTGAGATTTCCAGGTCTTGAGGAAATTGTATCGACGGAATTCATCCTGGAAACTGGAGAGCACAGTTTCCACATAGGGCAGTTCACTGCCCAAACCCAGGGATACCAACATGATGAAGAAAAGAATGGACCAGAGAACAGGAATGGGCATTTGATTCAAAGCTTCTGGATAGACCATGAAGACAAGACCAGGTCCTAATAGACAGTAAATAGAAACAAGTGTCACGAAACATTTGAGTAGATTCTTGTAAAGAATTCACTTTACCTGATTCAACGACTTGATCCACAGTGACATTTTTTATATGAGCCATGAAGCCAAGAGTTGAGAAAACCACGAAACCGGCAAACACAGAAGTGAGACAATTAATTGTTGCAACCAGAACTGCGTCCCTTTAAGTATAAAGGCCAATAAACTTTCATTTCATAAAGAACACAAAGTGCGTCACTTGCTAATGCCAATATAAAGCTACCTGTAACAGTTATTCTTGAATTTATTGTAACTCGACATTGCAATGAGGCCACCATTACAGCAACTCAGAGAGAAAATGATCTGTGTTGCAGCATCCGTCCATACGGTAGGGTCTGACAATCTTGAGAAATCTGGCTTTAAATAGTATATAACACCTTCTAGTGAGCCCTCAAGTGTGGCAGCACGTACTAGAAGTATAGTCAGCATGATGTATGGGAAGATGGCGGTGAAGTAGGATATTTTACCCAAAGACTGGACACCCTTGATCAAACTGAGGACCACAACAATCCAAGAGAAGAGAAGGCAGAGAGTTATATGCCAAACTGGAGTTCCAAAGTCTTCAAAACCAGATGACTTTTGAAGTACATAATGGCTTGAAGACAAAGGTGAAGAGGAGAGTTAAAATGTAGTAGTGATTAAGAGCATGGAAAAATGAAGTATTAAACTTACTTATAGTACTCTACAGCAGGAGATGAGGTTTCATTAATTGGGATAGACGAATTCGTTCCTATAACATGGCAGGTGCTTTGGTTATTCCACCAGTTAGTACAAGTGGACCAAGGTAGTTGACTGTTGAAACTTGCGAATAGGTAGAAGAAAGCTGTTGCTATGATAACATTGTAGTACAATGATATGTACCAGGAAACAATCGTCATTGCATAGCCAACACCTGAAAGGCGATAACAAAATGGATGTGATTGGAAATATTGAAGACCCTAGTGTGGGTTTCTGAGAATAAGAATAAGAACAAACCTTTGAACAAAGGACTAATGGACCATATTGAGATTGGACCAAGACTGGCGAATTGACCAAAGGCGAATTCCAGGAAGAAAATCGGGTAACCGAGACAAATTAACATGATCACATAGGGTACTAAGAAGGCACCTTAAACAGGATTAAATAAGAGGTGTAAGTGAGAGATCAGTCAGAGGCATAGTGAGACAATGGGGCTCAAGATTTACCTCCTCCATTCTTGAAACAGAGGTAAGGAAAACGCCATACATTTCCAAGACCGACAGCAAAAGCAATGCAAGAGAGAAGGAACTCAATTTTCAACCCCCATCCTCCTCGATCTTGACCTTCATTTGCTTCTAAATCGTCAGTCTAAAAATGAAAAATTATTTGAATTAAAAAATGTGTATAAGGTGAGATAAATAGAATGGAACAACCTAAGTCACGAGATATGAAATCAGTTTTATTTTAAGAAAATTAGAATGTCTTGGTTAATAGAATGCATTTTATAGTGGTTAAATATTTACTCTCGATTTTAATATCCGATCTATAAATAAAATGAAAATTTGCCCTTTTTTATAGGCGGAGTTTACTTTTCTTATAAATCATGGATTCAATTAGTCAGATGTAAATTGATTATGCATAATCAATAGCTCTGATGGCATTCTGTCAGTTGATATGTTCAAAAAGCCATCATTCGGCTTAATAACATTCACGAGACTTGCAAAACGAAAACCAATTTTCAATAGGATATTTTGCTTGCACTTTTTTTGACAATAGTTAAGGTCGCAAACTACAAATATATTCGACCTTTGACTTTCATCGTGCATTTATATTAGTGCAAATAGCGTTTAGATTGTGACGTAAAATATAATAACGAGGCGTTAAAATTGAAATGCATTAATAAAGCTAAGTTTATAATTGTGTATCTACTTGAATGCAGTAATTATAATATTGAATTTGCCAAAATAGAATTAGCATCAATGGGTTATTGCTTGAAAAGAAATGATTTGGAATAATAAAATGCATAGATTCATATAAATTACAAGCATTAATCAAATAGAATGTTGGTGTTTAACTATCATTACCAACAGCCACAGTAATAATAAAAGGTAAAAAACGTTAAATTCACGGAACCTATTCATTTTGAGAGATCTTCCATTCTGAAACAACTTTGCAAAATCGAATAAACAAATTCACAACTAACTTTCACATATTAGATGCTCTAAAACGAACACATTTCGAGCATAGTTGCGATCATATTTTGATTTCAGAGAAATCTCAAATGACCCGATTACCACCTCTCCATACCAAGTTTCAGAAGGTGATCAGAAATAGTTGAATGGTCTTGGGAAGGGGACTTAAGCAAACTTGCCACGAATACGAACCTTATTATACGAGACGACATCGGAATCAGAAACTTCATTTTCAGGAATGTCACCTTCTGGAAGCTTTGAATCCGTTTCATTAATCGACTCCATCCTCTGCCTCAATTTCACATTAACCATTTTCGATTTGTATGAAAGAAGTGTTAGTTACTTGCCACTAAATAAATATATCCGATTCAATCTTCTCGCCAATCAGTGTTAAGTACATGCGCGCACCGTGCACGTGCCTACGCGTACGCCTATCCCATTGGCTACGCATAGACCAACTGCCATTGTGCTCAAATGGCATTTCGTCATGCCTTTGCCCTGTCAATGGGCAGTTTTACTCACTTCGTACATTTCTAGGTCAAGTTTGTCAAAAATAAGGAGATGAGGATATTAAGGAAGTTGACACTTGATACAGTCCCAGCCGACTATTTTTACAGATTCTTCCTTAATTAACTGCTGTAGAAAGTATTCTAAAACACAGAGTACCTTATAGTTGATACTGGTTATGCTTCACCGTAAAGAAGTCTTCTGGAATATCTTTATAATTACCCTTTCTATTAAAGAAACCTCTTTCATTTAGGTGTGAAAAGTATACGTTTGATTGATCTTTCAGGTCACGACTTTGCTTGGAGTATGAATTTCACGAAGCATTCAATTTCATAATACTTAGATTCTGTAAGAAAAGTTTAAGTTAGGAAAAAAATACCTAAAAATAGATTTATTCATGAATTAATTCAAGTTTGAATCATAAAACAATACTTGGCAAAATATTACATTTCAATTTAAAATTCAAATGGACTGCATTACGCCAATGTCGTGCTGAAGGAAATTAATTTGTATTTCAATGCATTTCTTTCCAAAGTAGACAAAGAGTGAGTTTCTATTCCACTTGCTGATTTTGAGGTAACTTATTAATGGTACTAAAATTGGAGGGGAAGTCTGTTTAGCATGAGAAAGCGAAAATATTCAGAAGTGAGAAGATACTTATTAGGGATTTTGACTTTGGAAGGTTATGACTTAAAATTGACATGTTTTCAATGGAGGTTGGGGGGGGGGGGCGTTAATGGTTATGGATCTGTCATGTGTGTGTGTGTGTGTGTGCGTGCATTTGGCAACAAGTTTCGACACGCCTGCTCAAAGGGAATCATAGATACACACATGCACGAGATGTGGTGGAAAGCGAACACACAAAATTTTCCTAAATATGTCATCATTTTTACCACCCTGATATGAAAAAATTCGTGGGTCTATTTCAATCGGGCCTTTGAACTTGCGAGGTCAAATCGTAGGAGAAACATCATTGACCATCAGCCCAATTTCATACTTTATTATTCTGTACTCATTGGCAACAATTCAGTTAAAAAAAGAAATAAATGCTTAACCTTATTTCCTGCTTATGCTTGCTTGATTCATGTATTAATCAAATTAGGACTTCCTTAATTCGCAATTAATGAACATTATTGTTATTTACTGAATTGCTTTCAACTTCAAAATTCTTATTGTAACTTTTTACTTCCTTGAACAATTACACTTTCATAGATCATTATAAGTATTGTCTTAAAACATTTATTATTAATATCTATTCAAAATGCCTCTAAACACTTATGATGAGATCATCCTGATGTTAACCTCCAATTTGTTAAACTTCTAAGTAGTCAACATTTGTTTCATACTGTTGGACACTTCTCTCAATCGGTCAGATCAGATGAATTCTAACATCTCGACCGTAGTCCAGCATGCACCAAATTATCTGACACCTCTCGCTTTTCAAAATAACACGTTTTCCCACTCTAGACAAGTGAACAGTTGACATATATATAGTATGAACTAAAACTGGAATACGTGTGCCAACTTAAAAAGTGGGCTAAATTTTTGAAAAATGTTACTTTAGAAAATTGGAGTAATACAGCTTAGACTATCAATATTAATTTTGTTTAAATATTGAACAAGTTTCCTTTGACCGATGTTAGAGACAAATTGTGCTAAGGTTAACAGAAACACAATACCCTCTGGAATGGAAAAATACTGCAAAATTTCATAAATTCTTCAACAATACTGAATTCATATTATCGTTATCGCATTGTAAATGACACGAATTTCTCAACAAAAAATCAATCAACTAACTAACTTTGACATGACAGAAGATTCTTGAAGGTAATCATAATTACGTGATGATTCTATCTGAATCTACTTAAATGCGACCGCTTTCTGTGACCTTGATATTTTCGATGGAAGTTCAGAGGGTTCCTTTCGAAATACTGCATCACTATACTTCAACGAACAATAGACTTCAGATTGAACTACCCTTTTAGTACCAACGCGACAACCATATATGAAATGAAAACCTTTCCCGATTCAAACATATCACAAATAACCGTAAATATTTATTATAAAAAATGTCTGTATCATTTATTCTGCCAACGTGAAAGAGACACAAGAGATTCTCTAGATACTTCAGCTGACTTGATGAGTCAGCAAACTGATAAGATAGGGACATTTTTCGGTGATACTTTTTCAACTCTACACCCTAATTAATTAAATAAAATTGAACGAGGAGTTAAATTTGTGAAAGTTTTAAAATTGTTGTTCGCTGACTTCTATCAGCCACTCATTGTTACTTTTCCTTTTTTCATTTCATTGTTTGCTTTTTTCCAAATGAGTACGGGGATATTCAATAAAAAGGAGCGTTCCTTAGTGAATTTTTTTAAGGAAAAGTATTCTCAAAATGTACTTCCCTATTTTTTTGACTGATTGCTCCTTATTCACTCTCTGCAAATCTCCACTTCAAGTGAATTTGTTGTGTAGCGGATTGCTACCTTCGTAAAGCCTGAATGACTCAGAAATCTCTATGGCAGATTCTCCAACATCTAGCTAGACTCCCAGCTATAAAGGAAACAGACACGTAGCACGGAGCACGTTTATTCAGGACGTATATTGCGTTTAAAGTGTACACGCAGGGAGCTTAATCATGATCAGGATGGCGGATTAGGTTAAACAAAAAGAGGTTAATGATTGGTCACTGTTTGTACGGTCGCACCTCCCAATCCTGGCGTGCAGGCATGCGATGACGTGTTCCACAGTTGTAGTGGTATCAAAAAAACGAGTATTTCTGCCTTGGACTTTGATGATCCCTCATTTTAGCATTTTATTTTTCCAATTTAATCTGAACATTCCGAAATGCTTTCTCCACTCCTACCTTGAAATTTGCATGGTTGTAAGTTGGAATAGGCCACAATTTATACATTTTATTTTAAAATTACTGCTAATTATTTAATCAATAATAATTTCTAAATAACAGAGCTCATTAAATGTGAACCACCCAATCATCTCATCGCTTAAACAGCGCTTTACATTAAGAGCACATTGCGAAAATAATGTTTAACTTAGCTTTTCTTAAAATATTATATTAGGCCCAGATGACTCCAGATAGAAAGCGATTTGATTGAAGTAGTTTAGTCGAGTTTTGATGAATGAAATCAAGCTGCTTCTGTGACTTCTAGACTTTAGTCATTATTTCCAAGCGTCTTTCACTTATTGTTTTAATTGCATATTAGGTCAATATTTGTTTTTTCCAAATTAATCATGAATTTTATAGCGCAGCAGTTATGTTTTATTGTTAATCCCTTAATATATAATTTAAATTTGATTTATGACTCTCGATGACTAAACGACAAAATCAATTAAAATTTTCGGAAAATCTAAAACCCTTCAAAAATAAAGGCTTGACAGCTGAACTATTTTCTTAAAATCAATAGGTGTGGTCTTCGAAAAATTTATACCTTATTCTTAAATTTTTGGAGCCAGTAGATCACTGTGTATCACTCAACACAAAAGACATTTCTTACTTTATTCTTCTCCTACCTATCAGGCATAAACGGTTGTTTTGAATGATGGGAATAAATGATAATATTCCCGCTAAATCCATTATCTAAGATATCTTCCTCTACAGTTTAAACAATTATCGGAAAGCTTTGAGAACTCTGGAAAAAGAGGTGAATTCTTATCGATCATACCCAGTTAACTTTTAATGCCTAAACACTAAACTTTCTCATCAACTTTATCTTTTATCACAATTTAAAAATATATTACTCAATACAGATAACCTCTTCATTGAATAATCCTTGTTCACAGAACAAAGTCAATTAAATTACACCTGACCAAAAATGACATAGTCTTCATTATTCCAGAAACAGAAAATCGAATTTACTAAATTTTACATGAATTAGAAATAAGTTTTCCTTTGATAGTTGGACTCTACTTTTAATAGAACGCATTTTTATGAAGAAATCAATGGCATGAAAAATTAGCTATAGCTAACAGAAAGTTCATTATAAGCTATCATCTAAATCGATCGATAATTTGACGCAAGTTATCAAAAAATTAAAACGATCATTCGTACGGTTTCTGAATGCATGCATTTCATCCGAATGCCTTAGTAACACCGCGTAACTATTTCCGTGATATATTTAGCTGGGAAAAGTTTTGAAACTCAGAAAAAGAGACAAATTCTTTAAGCTTCTTTCAATTTTCGAAGTAATTCAATCTGCCCATTCTTTTATGCTACTAAAATTTAGGATATTGGCTGAAAATTTTAATCCGAATACGTCCTCTTGTCTCTTAGATAATTAGGATTAAGTGCAACATAACCTTACTTAGTTCTAATCTAGTTCTCGAAAGAATTAACTTCTAAGAATTATTCTGCCAATGGTCTAATGGAATTCTTAACTTTCCAGGTAGAAACAACTGAGGTTTACATATGCACCCTATTAAAACAATACGTAAATCTTTTGAGGACCTTTGACTGTGAAAGTCTTTAAGAGATCACACCTTATTATATTATTAAAATGTTAAAGCGTATTAATAACTAAACTTGCTCCCAAACAGTTTTAGAATTACTTTCAGAAATATGTGATAAAGGTTAGGTAAGTCATGAGACTGTGGTCATCAATGGAATTGGAGTCAATCTCTTTATAAATCCACGAATTTGACTCCAAGATACTCAAAATTTTCCGAGAGTTCACCCACTGCCATACCGGTGTGCCATTAAATTATAACAAAAATATTATCTTTTTCCGTTATAATTAACCTAAGATAGTTACTTGATTAAATCGTAATTCTCGTTTAACTCATTC